AACACAAGTACAGAGCCACTTTGAAAAATGGACCAAAAGATCCACTCCAATTGATCCTCCATAGAAATAGCAAGAGGAATATGAACCCCTACAACAAATTGATGCAGGTTGGTATGAAGAAGTCACTCAAGACTTCTTGACACTGGAAATAATTAACATTATATCCAAGGTAAGCAAAACATCAGCACCTAGTCCCTCTCAGATTCTATACATAGTATTACATCATCTCGGCCCAAAGGTGATTAGGAGCCTGAAAGTAATCTTTAACACAGTACTCCAAAAAGGAAAAATACCTGCTGAAGGAAAAAAAAAACTATTTATCCAATCCTGAAGATGTATGATTGGAGCAATGATCTTATCAAAGTTAGGTCCATCATGCTTTTGGAATCAGTCAAGAAAATCTTTACCAAAGGACTGGTTAATAGGCTGTTCAATATACTAATAAGGCATGAAATACTGTCAGAACACAACTGGGAGCACTATCAGGGACAAGCACTGTGGAACCTATTTTTACAATCAACTTAGTTGTTGAAAATGTGAGAGAGAATAACAAAGAACTATGGATTCTCTTCCAAGATATGTATAAAGTATATGAAAATATAGACCTGCATATTTTGACAAAAGTTATATAAAGGATTAAGCTCCCGAAGCCCCTTATTAACATTATCATGGAAGGTTTCAATGACTGGAAAAATACAGTGATTACAGGGGTGGGAATTACCAACCCATACATAGTCAGGAATGGAATTGATTAAGGTAATGCTATATAATCACTCCTCTGGTGAATATACTATGACCCACTGATCTGCAAAATCAGCAGGATGCATGAATACAAAAGTATCAATAGAAATTATGAAAGGATATAACTTTCCACCTCCTGCAGTACTACCAACACATCAGTTATGGCATACATGGATTATACAGTATAAATCACTAGAAACTGCAAATAGTTAGAAGTCAGGACCGACATAGCTAGCTCCTTCTATAACTTTGTTCAAGTTAAAGTAAACCTGAGCAAGTTAGAGCTTATCATAATCAACAATAAATGAGAGACCGAAACAACTTTTGAGCAAGATATGATCAGAGCATCCACTAGTGCAGTCTGGTACCTAGAAGTTTGGTTCAACTGAGATAGTAGAAAGAAACATCAAGCAAGCTTGCTCCATTAGACAACTTTGAATCTCGTACCATTTGCTCTGGAAAAGAGTATGGGATAAACAAACTCAATATTTAGTCAATCATGTAATTCTACCCAAATTGGAATACTCGGTACAAGACCTTTGCCTAACAGAGGCCAAAACTGACCTTATAGATAGAAAACCGAGAAGAATAATTAAATACAAAACTGGTTTTCCTATTTCAGCTCTGAACTTAATTTTCTACAGTAACCTAGGTTACAATGTTTTCAGCCTTAGAAACCACATGCTTCAGAAGCACTTGACCATTATCGAGGTACTTTACAAGGCAGCCAATCATGCTGCAGATTATACAGAAAAAGAATAACAAACCTTTAATAGGCAGCCTGATCGAAAACAAGTATTCTGGAGGCATGCCTGAAGATCTATGCAACAGGCAAAAACTTTTTTCAAAATGTGCTCATTCGTGCATAAAAGTGAGGTCTGTCCTTTAGAGATAGATGGTATAAAAAGGTGGTGACAAAGGAAGAGTTGATATCGATTGAAGACTATATGGAAATAAAATGATATAATAAACACAGAGACAAACTTAGAGCTAGCAATCTTAGATGGATCGAACAATTCGTTAACTACAATAAGATCAAAACAATAAGTTGGACTCAGATATGTCATACAAGCCATCAAAATACACAGAGGAGACAGTCCCATTTCTATAAAGAGATTATTAACAAAATAACCACAAGAACAATAAATCCAGACTTTGCTACAAGACTGACAAATCTCTACCAAGGATCAATCCCTTTCACAATATGGTCTAGATAGAAAGATAGAGCAGTAGATTCCTGAAGAAGTGAAAGTTAATTTGGATTGCTGCTGAAGGAAACACAGGAAAGGAAGAAATACTTATAGGGTGACCGAAAAAAAAGAATACAAACATCACAATAGTTAGACACTATATCTGGCAGCCATATTCATCCTATATGATATTATGCATCAGATGTGACATGAAAAATCAACCACTAACAACACATGTACCATAGAAATGTCAAACAAAGACTTGATTGCAATCCCAAGAAAGAGTAAATAAAGCATCACAGATCAATGCGAAAGCAGAGTGACTGAGCTTCTAACATTACTGCAAAATATTAAAACCAGGTTGAACCACTAGAGAAGTTATAAATCTTGAGACCTTGAAGACATCAACATTTCTAGTTATGTCTATATAAAGGGTTGGGCTGAGTGGATTAGAGATATGACAACCAAAGCAAAAACTAGTTAACTCCAACAGGACATGGAAGAATAGCAAATAGTTAGAGTCACAATGGATGTGAGTAGCTATAAGAAATTTTACACCATCGCCTTCCAGTTTGAAAACCTAGAATTAGGAGAGAAAACTGTGATCACATCTTTCAAGATTCTATGTAGGATATTGTCAAATAAGGCCGAGCTTAACGCAGTCATAGTAGCCCTCATATCTCTCCCATATAGAACAGAGGCAACTCTAAACATAAACAGCCAGATAGTAGCCACAGTACTGGAAGCCAATAGGAATAATAGCAAGATAGCGAGACTCACTGAATATATAAAGGATCTTGTGAAGCTAAAAGACATCAAGATCAAAGTTGAAAAGATCTGAAGGAATAGCAACCTGATCCTAATTAAAGTAGACAGCAAGGTCAAGCAGGCAAGATCTAAATGGCAAACCATATGTCTTGACATAATACCACTCAATAGGAAAGAACCAGTGCTAGTATATAATAATGGGATTACCAGCTTATATACTGTTGAAGCAGTCCATAACTATTTTAGGAACAAATAGGTTATAGATTGATGTAGTTTAGAGAGAAATCAGGATCTCACGCTACTCAACAATGAGATCGATTGAGAAGTAATAGTGAACTAACTACATTATAAAAGAATAACCGCGAGACTGACAGACACTAAGGATCATTAATGTAGGGCTTTCAAATTGAAGTCCTGGGTACAAGAGTTATCAACCATGGCCAAACTACTCATTAGAAGAAGGGACTTATACAGATCCAGTAGATACGTCAGGTACAACGTGGCCACCGAGAACCAGACACATGTTTTTACATACAAAGGGAATAAATTTGACTTTAATCTACGCATACTAGAGATTATATCAAATTATCTTCAAAGTAGGGAGAAATGAAGCAAACCATGGGTCCCGAGATAGGTTAAGATGGCTAAACATAATGTACAAAACACCTGGATTAACATGATATCTAGAAGCCTAATCCCCAAGGACATCCCAAATTTGGTTCATGAATGGACCAGAATTTTTAAGAAAAAAAAAGTCAAGCACACTTTCTTAGGGTACTTCGAAGAAATACAGAACCTCACAAGAGAAATCTAGCTATAGAGATGTGAGGCAACCAGAGAATAGGAAAGATCTCAAGGGATCACTAAATCAGAAAAGAGAGCGAGAGGCAAATGGAATTAGAACATGCAAAAAGACCGACCAGGGAAACCAACAAATAAGATTGGTTTGGACTAGAAGAAAACCAAAACTTTTAAATTTCTTTTCTCACAAAAATCTAAGGAAAATGGCACTAACTTAGCTTAGGCAGGTTATTTTTCTGAAAGAAAGACAACAAGCCATGGAGATCTATTTGGAGATCTGATCCAGAAAGTATCTTTCATAGTAATCTCACATACATGTTAGTATAGCCTGATTTCTAGTTAGCTCTGAAATAGATAGTACAATATAATATCTGAGTAAAAGCTAAATAAAGATCAACTGGGGGCTGAGCCAGCAAAAAAAAAAAATATATATATATATTTTTCAATAATTAATTTAACAATTATAATTAATAACTCAATCTCTTTAATAAAATTTTACTAAAATAGTAAATCTTATAAACTAATAATTGAAAATTAAAAAAATTTTAAAAAAAATTAAAAATTTGTTATATTTTAAATCTTTTTACATCAATATTTTTCTTATATGAATTAACTGAATCAATTAATTCTAAATCAATAGAAACTTTATATCATAATACAAAAATTAATAATTATTTTATCTACTTAATTATTAATACTAGATTAATAAATAGTATTATTTTTAAGATTTTTCTTTTAACTTGCAATCAGGTCAGCATGACGTGTCTTTATTGTATATATACTAGATATTTATAAAATGTTGTGACTTTTATATATTGACTCACTCGTTATTAAAAAATTATTTCTCTAAATGCAACCTAGGGAATAATATTTTGCTCATTTACTAATTTGAATAATTCCTCTAATTAATAAAATCATTGCCTACAGGTTATTACTGTAGATTATTTTTAAGATATTTTTAGGTTCTTTAAAATATATTATTTTGTAAATTATTTTTTAATATCTTGTAAATATAAATTAGACAAAATAAAGAATTTATTAATTATTATTAAGAAATTATTATATTTATAATAGTAAATATATTTTTATTTACTTAATATATAGTTATTGTAATAAATAAAAAAAAAATCTTTTCTACAGATCTTTTTTTTTCTCAAAAATTTCCTTTTTAGGCAATTTTAGGAAATAAGAAAAAAAGTGAATGGAAAGATAAGTTCTCCTAGAGATCGAAGATGCTCATATACCCAGGGCAGACCTGACTACAATGTGAACATCCTAGTGAAAGATAACACAAGATTGCTATGCAAAGAAACCCATATGGAGACAACAAAGCCAAACCCAAAAAATAAAGGAAAAAAGAGAGAAACACTTACAGAAAACACTAGTAATAAACAACCAAGAAACCAGAATATCAGCCAAACCACAATCACAGGTATAGAAATCACTAACAAAAAGAAAACCAACCAGAAACAGCCAACATGAAGTGATAAAGTGAAAGAAATGATTATACAAGATATTCAATCTGATAATAGTGATAGAAGTAGAAATATTCAAGAAACTGAACAAAGCAAAGACTCTTCTGCCTCATTCACAACAACAAGAATAGATGATTCAGATATAGAAATGGAGGAATTAGGCAACAGTAGCCAGACAAGACCCAGATCCAGTGGGCAGTGACATAAAGTTTCATATAGAAACACATCTATTAATAGAATTAGCAAACTCAGACTAAGATCACTGATTGATTCAATAACAAGATTTGGAAGAGAAAGAGTCAAAATAGGTATTAAAACATCAGAAGTTCCAGGAAGAACTACCAATCAAAAGATTGCATACATCGCAAAGAGCTTAAACATACTCACTGGCCTTCTTTCTATCCGCAGCGAAGAAAAAGAAAAAGAGAAATATATCATTGCCATTTTTAGTGATTACCACACTGCAAAAGAAGCATGTAACACTATCTTACTTGAAATGGATGGAGCTTATCTCGAATTTCACATTCTCTAGACCAAATAAAGAAAACAGTATCAGAGTATGGGATATTTCTCTAGACATAAAATTCATAGAGGTATAATAGACCTTTGCCAAATTTGGAGAGATCACAAATATTGACATATTCACATAGCAAATGTGACAGTTAGCAGTCATTACCTATGCAGACAAACAAGTAAAAGAAGACCTAGTTGCCAAATGGAGTATTCTTTTATACTTAGACTCAGTCAGAATTTTTAATGCACAATGGGACATGGATCAAATGAAAGCTTGTGGAAATATTGTAGTTAAATTAACAAACCTATCTCTTAATATTACAGCTTTCGATCACAGACTCACTTGTGAACAAACTAGGGATAAGACGTGCTACATTTCTAAGCACATGTCATATAGGCACAAGTGGTTTGTAATCATTGGTTTTATGAACCAAGAAGACCTGAAAGTAGCAATAACACATAATGTTCTCCTTGGCAAAACCCAAGCAAAATAGAAACCAATTGACATAAAACTTTATACTATCTGTGAAAGTGCAATACACTTAGTCACTCAATATCCAATCAAAGAAAAAGAACACATTGGAATCAGTATAACACAGAACAAACTAATAGATTCAGTAAACTATACAAACAATTCAGGCCAGCACATATTGAAACTATAAAATGAAGTGCAACTACATACAACAATCAAAGGAAGGTCAGGCCAGGCTCCTACACATTAGTAGCAAGATTATCAAAAAAAGATAAACCATAGTATCAACCTCCTCAATTAACCATGGCAGAAGTACTTCATATTCTCAATACAATCAAGTGAGAGATTCAAGAAATAAAAGAAGATATAGCTAATTTAGAGAAATGTATAGTTAATCTAGAAATATATGATGAAGATTATACTAAACAAATGAATAAAGACATCCTCCCCTTGATATAGAAGAAGGTCCAGTAATAGACACACTACTTCAAAACACTACTCAAGACATCCATATCCAACAACAATGCATTCAGTCATCTATATAAAAACTTGACAAACATATGGATCAAATGTACAACACCATACTCAACTCCATCTCAGGTAACACACTCTCCCCTTTGCATAAACAATAATAGGTAGCAATCAAAGTACTATATCAACAAAAGAATTAAGCAACTCTAGAAACAATCAAACAACAAACTTGTATAATTCAACATAAAAACTAACAGAAGAAACAAACAATCTAGCAACAATCCCAAATCACAATTCATATACAAATAATATAATACTTAGTACAACAATACACACAACACATATAAAGAATATAAATCAATATAGAAAGTCGCAATATTCAATATTCAAGGCCTAGTAGAAACATACAAACATAAAACATGGTTCAACTTTTGCGACGCAACAGACTGAGATATTATAGTTAATATGAGACAAATTGCTCATATCAACAATCTAAACATTGGCAACATAAGAAAATCCAAACTATATGGACATACAAATAAGCACAAACTAGCGGATAAGAGCTAAATATAATAATCAACAAATATATCATATACAGAATATACATATATAAAACACTTGCAGGATGACTCATTGCAACTGACCTGGCCTTATCACATGAAGAAAAAATGAGAATAATTAAAGTATACTTCTTTGTACAAGATATGGAAGGAGAAAAGCAAATAGTACTTAACACTCTAAGCAAATAGATCAAAGAAGTTATGGAAAAATGATAGCATCTCTTGATATCAAGTGATATGAATGGAGTTCCCAATCCCACAATTGACAAGTATAACAGTACAAAGACAATTAAGAAACATCATTTCTCCAGAAAACAAATACAAGTTCTTCTGGATAATAATTTAAAGACACATATAGAACTCACAACTTCACAAAGAGAGAATATACCTGGAACAGAGGGGGAAGCAGCAATAAAATTGATCAAATATGGATGAGCCCACAAAAAACATGGCAATTAAAAACAGTATCTATCCAAGACCTTACCACACTATCAATCTTTAGTGATCATATCACAATAATAGCAGAGATAGAAATATAAAACATCAACACACCCAAACAAGCAACCTATTACAAACATAATCACAGGTACAACTGTAACTTGTCATGGCAAAGCAATGGAAAAAGTTCAGTAAATATATTGAGTGCAATGTATAAACAGAATATATGAGTCACCAATTATTAAACCACAGATGGAATCAGTTCAGTGATGCTATCCAGAAAAAAGCTAAGAAATACATTCCAAAAAAGAAACCCTATCAGAGAAAAAGATACCAAGTCAAAGATATAGATGAAGTATCATTTATAATACAATTATAGAAATTCTTTACACAAGTAAGATAACAATAGATAGATAAAAGAGAGAAAAAAGCATATTAGCCACTCCAGATTCCAGTGAGCATACAAAGATATATTCCAGACCTGGTGTTCACACTCAATGAATTAGAAGATGAACACTCTGATACATATCTTGAAGAATGGTGTAAAGTAATTCAAGGGAATATAAAGGTACAGAAAATGGTTGCAAAGGTCATCTCTCACAGAAGATAGAACATTGCCATAAAAGGAAGAATCCAAATAGACAAGAGCAGTATAACAATGACAAGTGTGCCATGATTAATAGTATTCTGAAAAGACCCAGAAGGCAGATACAACTAGACAGACTTATTATTCAATAAGGAGAGGAAGTGCAAATAATCATGAAGCCAACAGAAATCAAGACTAAAGTAAAGGAACACTTCTATAACTGTACATTATACAGAAACATTCAAAACCTAGAATAACATCCCAAGTGGTAGTACAAATATATTTCCTAATCAACACCATAATCATTTATGTCAAAAGACACACAACACAAGAAAAGGGAAGAAAATTTGAAAGCATATTTACAAGCAAAACAAATCTTAAATATAAAGAATATCTAATAGCAAGCATCAGAGGAGCCTTCTTCAGAGAACTAATCTATAACATCCAAAATACTAT